TGTCTTATCCTTGAAGTGGAGAAGAGAAAACAGAGGAAGGAAAAGGGGAGGCATCCCAACCTACAGACTACTCGCCCCTGTGGAAAGACCTGCAGCTTCTGCAGACGGATCTGTGGCTCAAGGATTAGATTCTCAAGACCCATCAATTAACCGTGGTAGAGATCATCCTTGAATCGAGGGATTGCCAACAATAACAGTTTTGGCACCAGGCTATGTAATTTGTAAGGTGCCTTTAAACAAAAGGGCTCATAACTAACATGCCACCAACCACCACAAACAGCCCTACTGGAAATGCTTCTTGTGCTCCTCACATATTAAAGGCTCTGCAAGCCTCCCTCCCTACTGCAGCACCAGGCCTTTATACCATTCCCCCCGCTCTTTCCAGGGGAGCTTCTCCACTACCCGCGCTACCAGTGTGAGACCTGCAATGGGGGGGCTGCAACTCTTCTTGTTCGAGGTCTTGTAAGATGACCGAAAGGTTACTTTATTTTTCTGAAAGCAGATCGGCTGGCACCTTGAAAACCCCCAGGGCAGTAAGAGGAACTGCACGATAATGTGGTTGACCATCACTTTGACTGGCAAAAAGATAAAGGAAAAAGTGCGCCCTGTCTATACTAGCATGTCGGCCCCTATCAGCTAACATTGTACACAGGCGTGTGTGTGTGTCAGTGCACGCATATGTACAAAGCCACGGGTTTGGTTTTTTTTCTGGTATCTTTTATTGCAGTGATTCTCACCCTTTTTCGACTCAAGGTCTTCCTCATTAGACTCACGCCCCACCTGTCCAGCCTCCCCCCCCATTCAGGTCTTGTTTCCTGTTTTTGCTTTCTTTCTTCGGCTGTGTGTATGTGTGTATTTGTGTATGTACATGTACACATGTAGACACACAGGTGTGTTATTTGTACATCTATATGTACATGTGTACACATGTAGACACACAAGTACACGTTTGCATATCTACATGTACACATATGTAGTATATACACAAGTATACATTTGCATATCTACCTGTATACACACACGTGGTGCATATACAGACATATACAAGTACATATTTGTATAGCTACATGTACACGTGTATGCACACATGTATTGTATGTACACACAAGTACATAATTGTGTATCTGCATGTACACACATGTACACATATGTAGTATATACACAGAAGTACACATTTGCATATCTCCATGTAACGTGTATGCACACATGTATTGCATGCACACACAAGTGCATAACTGTATATCTCCATGTACACACATATGTATTACATATACACACAAGTGTGTATTGGTATATCTACATGTGCATTACATAGAAGTACAAACTTGCATATCTGCGTACACGTGTATACACACACTACACGCACACATACAAGTAAACATTTGCAACACATGCACACCCCTGCATGCAGTATACATATACACATATCTGCACATCCATATCTGTACACATGCACATATCTGTACATCCACGTGCACACACACGTATGTACTGCACTCCCGCGTACAAGCACACGATTGGGTATCTACGTGTACAGACATATGCATTACGTATACACACACGTGTGTATTCATACATCTGCATGTATAAACGCATGCATTTATACCTCTACAGCTGCATGGTACGTCTACACACGTGTGCACACCTATGCTGCATGTACACACGCACACGTACACAACCGTATCTACATGTGTGCGTGTGTACATACATACATAATGTGTGTGTGTCTATATATATATATATAGACACACACACATATAGGTATATACATTTCTATGCGGGCACGCACACACCCGCCCGCCCATCCCCGCGCCGCGAGCACACGTGGGCACACACGTCCACACGCGCACACACAGA